AATGGTAATGAGGTTTTTTTGCAAATTTACCTTAACCCTTCTTTATTAGATGTGTGGACTAGATTAGTCCACATCACTATCAAGACCCATTGAAAAACTTAGTACTAAGTTTTTCCATTTTTCTTATATATATACACACATTAATACCGTACTGTAGATTATTCTTATAGGGAAAAAAAAGATAGCTCGTAGATTGAGGAGGCAAAATGATTGTTTCTTACGAGTCCGTCCTTGACCTCCCAGTCCCCCTTTTTCTTGTTCTCATTCAAATATGCTAAGTTTAACACATTAATTTTTTTACTTTATTCGCCATAATTTTCTCAATCATTACATTTTATTTACCAATAAGTCCATTCCCATGAAACGTGTAGAATACAATGTTAATATTTCTCTAATTGTTTTTCCTCAAAATTTCCACGGTGAGCAGAATGTTTACCCATTACCATTTTCCAATTCATTTTTTGACATCTTCGACTATAAGAATTTCATTCTTTTTAGTAAGGATTAATAGCAGATAGAACCCATCTACAGTGTCGTTGTTTTGAGCTTACTATCCTGTGTAGTTTCATTGTTACGTAAAGACCACCCTAGCTTAATTTTTTATTGTTTTACCCTCAGTGAAATTTTAGCGGACATTGGTGACTAGTAAATTCGGAAAACAAGAGGGTGATTGTTAAGACATAATCCGTACAATAACTCTTGTTTGAGTAATAATAAACTCTCATTTAGTACCAATATTTATTTGAGATGATATAATACAGGCGAAAACAGGTATACGAAGATTATCATGCGAAACACCACAAGAATCAGCAGTTAGGTTGATTTTAGCATTAGAGCCATCGATGATCTACAGTGAATCGTCGATAGTCAATGCTCATCGATAGCTTACAGTAAATAATCGTAGAAATTCCAGAAAGATAATTTCAAACCGTCGATGGCAACAAAACCTACAAAATTACATACACCAAACAAAACCTAACATTTGCTCGTCACTACATAATTATTTGTTGTTAAAGTAAGAGAGAGAGAATCTTGGGTAAATTTCCCTTGAATTGAATATTGAGTATGCACATATATTTATACAAGTAGAGGAGTGTGAGGTTTGTTCTCCCAAGCAATGTGGGACTAAAACCCACTACAATACACTATTATCAACAGCCCCCTTCAAACTCATGTTGGATCAAACAAAGTGAGTTTGCGTACAAGAAACTGGAACCGATGAACAGGTAAGGCCTTTGTAAAAAAATCTGCAAGCTCGTCAGCGGATGAAATATGAGGAAGTAGAATTGTCTTGTCCTTGATAACTTGGTGACGGACAAAATAAGCGTCGATCTCAATATGTTTGGTCCTTTCATGAAATACTGGATTATTAGCAATCTGGATGACACTCTTATTATCACAGTAGAGAGGAGTAGGAGTCGTAATAGAAATGCCGAAATCACTGAGAAGGCGACGAAGATGAATAATCTCTTTAGCTATTGTGGACATTGCACGATACTCTGCCTCAGTACTGGAAAGAGCAATAACATCTTGTTTCTTACTTCATCAGGAAATAAGGGAATCACCAAGAAATATATAATAACCTGTGATAGACTTTCTGGTAGTTGGATCACCGGCCCAATCAGCATCAGAATATACACAAAGCTCTAACTTAGATGTAGCAGGAAACAAAAGAGAGCGAGTGCTAGTACCCCGGAGGTACTGAAGAATCCGTAATAAGACAGCATAGTATATAGAACGTGGAGCACTAACAAATTGACTGACAATACCAACGTATGAAAGATATTTGGTCGAGAGATGCACAAATAGACCAACTGGCCAACAAGATGTGGATATCGGGTAGGATCAGATAGAGGCTCACCGTCAGTAGAGAAAAGTTTAACGTTCTGCTGGAGTGGAGTATCGACAGTTGCATTATCAGTTAGCTCAGCTTGATTTAGAATATCTGAGAGATACTTCTGTTGAGACAGTAATACACCCCGCGAGCCTTGAGAAATTTCTAGACCAAGAAAATACCGAAGAGATCCAAGAACCTTCATGTGGAACTGTTGTTGCAACTGAGATTTTGCGTATTGTATACCTGCCATATCATCACCTGTAATGATCATATCATCTACATAGATGAGTAATAAAACTCTGCCGCGCGATGTAGTGCGAACAAACAGAGAAGCATCTTGATGACTTTCTATAAAGCCCGCTTTGAACACGACATCGCGAAAACACTCAAACCAAGCGCGGGGTGCCTGCTTGAGACCATAAACAGCACGGCGAAGGAGACATACATGTCCCGGAGGAATATTTGACCCTGGAGGCGGTTGCATATATACGGTCTCTGATAAAGAGCCATGAAGAAAAGCATTTTTGACATCCATCTGGTATAAGGGCCAACGATGAGCAGCAGCGACCGCAAGGAGAGTACGAACAGTGGGCATCTGAGCAACAGGAGCAAATATCTCCTCATAATCAATACCTTGTTGCTGAGTAAAATCTCGAGCTACTAAATGAGCTTTTCGACGTTCAATGGTGCCATCAGGACGAAACTTGACCTTATAAACCCATTTACTGCCAACAAGAGAGATCCCAGGAGGACAGGGAACAACATCCCAGGTATGAGTTTGCTGAAAGGTTTGAAATTCCTCATCCATAGCCTATCGCCACTCTGGAATTTGAACTGCCTCTTGGAAGGACTTTGGCTCAACAATAGTATGGATGGCAACAAGAAAGTTATGAAAGATAGGTGAAGAAGAAGTAACAAAAGCATACCAGGCAGGCATGGCATGTGGGCGTTTGCCTCGACGATGTGACGCCCCTGGGTCTTCTGCTGCTGCTGAATTGGACCATTTCCCTTCTGGGCTCTTGTTGGTGCACTGTGGCACTCTAACGCCTTGTGTCCGACCTTGCGACGGTTAAAACAAGTTCCCCGAACTTGTGCTGCTGACGTGCTCTCTGATCCTGTTGACAGGTAAAACACTTAGTCACATACTCTGAAACCTCCCTTCGCATACCACTCCACCAAAAGTGTCTCTTCAGGTCATTGTACATCTTAGTAGTCCTTGGATGTACTGTGTACCGAGTACGATGAGCTTCATCAAGTAACTCTCTCTTCAGCTCGGCACTGGCTGGCATGACTAGCCTGCCCTTCATCCGGAGACCTCCATCTGCTCCAATGATCCAATCAGTCTTAGGCTCCTTTCATACGAAGAGCAAGAGGAACCTCAGGCGGGGGAGATGCTGGCGCAGGTGCGTGGAGATCAACAATATTTTCTGGAGTGAGAGTTGTGTCCATAGGATATGGATTAGATGGTGTAAGAGAAGACTCGGGTGAGGAAGAGTCAACAGAAGGAGAGGGAGAGATGTCAGGGAGATCTAGAAAGGAAAATTGAGGTGAAGAAGTGGGTGATGCAGTTGACGGGGAAGCATGATCAGTAGAGTGGAGGAAATTAAAGTCATCAGAATCAGAATAATATGGAGAATCCTCTTCGAACTGAACATGACGAGATATATGAACTCGACGAGTTGCTGGATCATAACAACGATAACCTCGATGTTCTGAACTAATTCCTAAATA